TATAAGCATGAATACCAATCTTAAACTGTACATTTTTAGAGACAATGGTCTGTGAATGTAAAAGTTCCATAATTCTATTAAATCTCACTCGCCGATGACCAGAAGTTTTCATCATTCAATGTAATCAATTGGATCAGCAAGACTAAGTTGCACAATGCTGCATCTTAACAAATATCCAGCGGGATTAAGCAGTGTGGACAATATAAATCAAAAGCCAAAGATAAAGATCCATCATAGCAAGAAACAGGAACTTTACCTGGTCATAGTCAATATAGCCAGTGCTCTCATTCAATCTGTATGGCATGGTCTCAAAAAAGATAGAAACTGCAGATATCTTCTTTGTGTCAGTCTGTGGCCATTCAAGAGATGAAACCATCAATTGCAGATTCATATGATTATAATTGAGTGATGCTATAAATGATGAAGGCATCCTCAAAGCACAGAAGAAAGTCATTAAAAAAAATTCATGCCAATAACCATGTAGATGTGAAAGTATTTTCTAGAACTACAAAGCCCAGAAAGCCTAGTCTGTCAAATGCAATTTAATGTCTCTCAAGTGTTGCATCACAGAGAAGAGGATCATTATCACACAAAAACTTACATTTTAACTTTTGCAACATGAATTGTTATGCACTGAAAGTACTCATATTGTCTTAGCATCTTTCAGCTAAAAACAAAAGTACATCGAGATTGCAAAGTGTTACTCAAAAATCAAAGGTAAAATGGGACGCTTACACTAAGCAAGACATTAGGTCACCAAAAATTTCCTTTTTCATCTGTTGGACTGACATCATCAAGTTGCAGGTGCGAGTCATGAAGTCATAGTAGCAGATTGTCCAGTAGGCAAAGATTTTGTTACATGGCCAACAGTGATATTTAAGCCAAACATCAACTCAACAAACTATGAAAAGTAGGAAAGGAAAAACAGTTTCTGCAGTACCAACAAAACTGCAGTTGCATTACTAACAGTATCACCAAGAAAAAAGTTCCAAGAACCACATGTGACTGGCAAAGGATAATGCATCTAGAACTCTGGACTCCATTGAATAAGTACAGGGTAGGAACAAAACTTTGCACTTGGACCCAGTCAGACATTTGTAAAGAAAAAGATGTGAGGGAGAGAGAGAGGAACCTGATATCCATGAGAAAGATGCCCACCATGTGGAAGATCAAGTGCCATGATTCTTTCATGAGGTTTCAATAATGCAGTATAAACTTGAAAATTAGACGGAGACCCTGATAGAGGCTGCACGTTAACTGCACCAGAAAATGTAAATGGTGTTTGGTTCCACTATTGCAGTAATCATACTTGCTTTTATTTTTCTTGCTAAATGAATGTTTAAAATTCCAAACATTTCAAGTTTCCTTGGATGTTTACAACTCCATAGTGCCATTACTGAAGAGACACCAGAACTACTATCCTTCAAGATGTTATGCAACACGCCATAACTACCTAGAGAAGTTGACATGAACCATCCAGATTGACACTCTAATCTTTTGAAGTTTTTGATAAAGATTAATAGTTGGTTGATGATCTATTTAAAGAAATAGAAGCAACTTCTGAGAGCAAAATAGAATTTCAAATATTTTAGGAATTCTATTGAATTAACGCTGCAATTACCTCCCCATTTAGCTGGATCCAACCTGAACGCTTCAAGAGCACGCTTCTGGCACAAGGTTTCTGCCATGTCAATGTACCTGAAAATAAAGCATCCAGTAAATCTCTAGGAATTGGAATGTTGCTAAAGTCCAGACTCAAACTTGGAAAAGGACTGACAAATTGCAGCAATTATGTTAAAACTAACTAATATCTGCAGGATGGAAATATATGCTCTCCAGCACACAAGAATCCTGGGAGAAAGAAAAAATAATGGAAGCGCATGGAAGCATTCTGCATACTCATTTCCTCCATAATATCTAGCACCTGGGTATCCTTCACTGTATTTGTTAGTCATGATAGACCCAACTGCTTGCATAACAGAGACAGAAGTGAAATTCTCTGAAGGGATGAGTTCAAGTCCCTGCACATAGGAAGTACAAACTCCAGTAAGATATCAAGTTCCATAGAATAGTTGGAACTTTAATTTGAAAGTTTTATTGGGAAACTTAACCTACATCCAAATTTCAAATGTTGATCAAAAAAACTAGTTAATTATAAGAAATTAAAGAAGCAGAGACAGAAATAGTGAATCTCTGTCAAATTCTTTTCAGGAAGCCAATGAAAGCACACAACATAGATGCTACTAGCAGTCTATTAGCAAAAGTCGTTTCATCCCACTTCACAACTCTATGAGCTGTGCACTGCAAGAAATGAAGACAACTTGCAAACTCTTTCTATGGTCTTGCATGCTCAAGTCTCAAACTTTACAGCATGGTTAGACCGCAAAAATCCATCCATTCGTGACCCAAGATTAAATTTTATCTAATACAAAAATCAGAACTTGAATCCATTTACAGGTAAAGCAAGAGATAAATAAGAAATACTATGCAGCCTTTGTAAAGAGGGCATAAAAGCAAACCTTCCATTGCCTGGCTTTCTCGAGCTCAATAATGTCAGTGACTTCTGGATCAACCACGTGTAGGGGAGCATTCAGCTGCTTTGGCCACTGAAGATTTCACAATCTCGTGTCAATATAAACGTATACGGAGTCCCAATTCGTGTTCAACAAAATTTGTTTAACTCTTATCACCAATCCTGGGATAAATAACAAAGCTTACAGTAACGCCAGACTTCTCCTTGTCGTAAACGGCTTCATTAGGCAAAGAGGACTGCAGTACAAAACAGAATCATATAAATTCGGCCCTGCAAAAATTTAGCCAGAAGAAAATCGAAAAATAGAAAAAACCAAAACCCGAAGTGACCATGGAATAGAGAGAGCCGCCATTGCAGAGGCGCTTAATGGGTTTGTCGGCCACTGAAGAGAGTCTGCGAAGAGCCATCGCCATTGCCATCTTCCTCCTTTGTGTGTGTCTCTCTCTCTCTCTTCTTACTCTGCTTATCTACTATACATGCAAATTGCAGACGCACGCAGGCATCCACTCACACACACACACACACACAACTCAGCCCACTGTCTCTGTCTCGTTTTGTTGTGGGATGGGATGGGATGGGATGGGATGGGGATCATTCATGGGAGATTTGATTTTGGATGGTGGAAGAAAATTTTGAAATATTTCTGGTGCTTGTCGCGTTATGGCTGTTGCTGCTACTAGCATTTCTAAACCAAAGGGAGATCAGAAAAAATTAGCATTCGGGCAAAAATTCAAAACGGGATGAATTTATTTTTACAGCTTGAGATTCCGCCTACGAGTGTTAGTTATCACCTCACCATTTTGTGATGTGAGTGAATTAGTCGTAGGATTCGAATTCATTTGCATTGTCTCAATCGCAATAGTACGTGTTACCTTTTTTACTGACAATGGCGAAATTAATACAATTAACTCACAAATGGTGAAATTACAACTAAACTCACAAAGGGTAGGAGAAGAAGAAACTAGTGAGACTTGAATGTTTGGATTTTTGCAACTAAACTCAGGTGATATTAACACATAATCCACCGGATTTTCTCAAAATGTTTTTTGGCATACAACAAATTTCACGGCCGAGCCAAAAACGTACAGCAAAGGTAAATTATTTCGCCTAAATAACACTAGTAACAACTAGCTAGATTAGTAATTGCCAAAATTAATAAGTATTAATATTATATAGTAACAACTAGTTAGATTATGCATGTCCGTCAGATTTCTAGTCACAAAAACCGTAGAAATTCTCTTCTTTTTTTTTTTTTTTGTGGGTTTGGTTTGATTCATAACAGAAAATCGCGTGTTATGAAGTGCTGTTTTAATTTGTATGAATATCTGGAATTTCTGTTTCAGAGTTTTTTTTTTTATTTAATTTGGTTTTTCGGGTTAGCTTAGGTAGGCAAGATAATCACACCAAAATCAGCCATGAAAGCCCTATCCAGAATGGAACATTTCTTAGCCACAAAAAAACAGAGTTCATCCAATTCCAATTTGCCTTGTTGACTCATTATTGGTTCTTTGCTCCTGTCCAAATGATTTTGAAATGAAACTCACATTTTTGGGCCAAATGGGATGGGCCTATCATGTATGAAGCTTGACCTAGACCTTCCGAGTAAACAAATGTCTCTGCATCTAGTGATGAATTTGTTAAGCTTGAAGAGCAATTTGCATTTTGCGGGTTCCAAGCGAGTCCAGCCCTATCCATGATTCCATCGTTTAGTTCACAGGCATCTGGCGGCAAAGGCGTGTTAGGCCTGAAGAGGCATTCGAAAGTTGCAGTGAGGCCAGCCTTTCCAGTTTCCATGAATGTGGGCTTGATCAAGATTAGTCCACAAAAGCCAGACTAGAAGTCCTATCCTAATGACTACTTCGGTTTTAGCGTCTCAACTCTCTCGCTCTCTCTCTCTCAACCCTTATGGGTCAGTTGCTCCACCTCGTCTCACGGTATTAAGAATGTAATTTTTTTTGAGCAAATTACTCTGATAACCACTAAATTTTTTCAATAGTCAAGATTTGACTACTCAATTACTAATAATATATTTTTACGCACTGAACTATCAAAAGTGTAAATCTTGAATTATTTCGTTCGATTCCGTCATCAACTCTACCTAAAGATCCGTACAATAATTGGGATGGAGGGAGTAGATATTCTATCATTGGATGAGTCCTTAATATGAAGCCAATTATGGACGACGGTGAAAGGGTCTAGCGGTAAGACAGGTGACAGGTAGGAGTGGGCAAAAAAAATTCGAAAATCCAAAAAACCCGACTCGCCCCGAACCGAAAAATAGGACATCTGATCCGATTTCTATCATCGGATCAGATAGGATCGGGTACCCTAAATATTCGGATACGGATCGTAAAAACAAAAACCTGCGGGTACCCGACCCGGGGGTATAATATATAAATATTAAAAATATAGGGGCAATTGTATAATATTTTAAGTTATTATTAACCCTAACCTAAATAGTTCAGCCGACAGACACTCCCTCAGGCTCATGCCTTAGTTGACTTTCTCCTTCTCCTTCTCCATCTCTTCAACCTTCAGCCAATACTCTGCGACAACTTTCTTCCATAGGATTATTAAAGGATCCTGGGCTAAGGTATGTCCCCTGATTTTTGCCTGAATTGACATGCTCTGATTGAATTAAAATGTGATCAAAGCTGCCTGTATTTCAATTCTATGATTTAGAAAGGCTTAGAGCCTAGAAGTGGTCTATCTTTTGAGAAACTACAGTCGGATCTGTTTGGCCAGTGACATTCCGACGATATGTTTGATAAAAGTCTTAAGGGTATCCCCGTATAGTTTCATGAATAGAGACTTGAAACTAGAGATCTTTGAATTTTATATCCTCCATTGCAAGTATCAGAAAAATAAAGACTTTTCCCTATTAAATTCATCCACAGTGTTACTCATTCGTCATTCTGTGATTACTACAATTTTTTTAATGTTACAGGTGGTTATTAGTGTATTCATCTCTTCCACAATAGGGAAGGAAGCATGTAAGGTTCCTGGGTTCCACCTATAAGTGTACTTTTGCCTCTTCTTCAAGATTGGATTAGACACTTTTGAAACTTGACAGTCTAAATGTTGCTCAATGGGATGCCTCTGGTGACAGAAGTACTAGCACGTACCACTAGGGATTGGCTGGGTTTGTATTAAGATATTAGATCATGAACACTGAGAATAACAAATGGGTATTTTGTTGTGATTATGTATGTATTCATATAGCAGAACGCTTTGTTATTACCAACTTATTGAATCCTCCACCTTCTTTCACCACTCAAACATGATTATTTCACTTGTGAATCTTGAAGCTAGGCTTTTTCAGTTTAGTTCTGCTTTCTTATATGTACAGTACTCTGGTGACCAAGGAATTGTACCAAGTACAATATAGGCTTATTGGTACTACTTTTTCTGTCAGTGTTATTACGAAGTGGTTTTTGATTCTGGTTGTAAGGGCACCAGTTCTCCTAATTGTGATGGAAAATCTACTTGAAAGACCTGAGAATAATCCCTGTAGTTCATTAAACTAGCATGCCCATATTTGCTTGAGTTGGCTCTCTAAAAAATTGAAATGGAACTCGTTTCAAGGAGAAGAAATCAAATTCTCGGCAGATGTTGGAGAAAAGGAATCCGTATAAAATCTTGCATTCTTTAAATAGTGTACCCGCCCCTATTTTTTAGGTACCCGAGGACAATCGGAGCAAATTACGGTCAAAAAAACAGTGACCCGATATCTTAGGGTCGGGTCAGCCATTTGCCGTTCGGAGCGGGTATCCGACCCGTACCAACTCTTAGTGACAGGGGTATCCGAAGGAGTTTGAGCATTGTAGGGTACAGAAATTGAGACGGATCACGGCAGCGAGAAAGGGACCTAACCGGGGAGCAGGACGGTAAGTCCGTCCAAAATCAAGGGTATTTTCTTGTAAATGACTGATGAGATCCATTTTCCGGTTTGCCCATCCCCTTACAAGATAGAGGTCCAGGAGAAGGAGCCAAGGACCAAAGTCCCCACAATATCAATTCTTCTGGCTAGCAGAGATCTTGTTTCAACTTTCAAGATCACATGTTCCAAAAAAAAAAAAAAAAAAAGGCTCAAACGGATATGTCGCGTTTCCTAATTCTCCATTTTAGTTCTTTTTTAGTTCATAGTATGGCTGTATCTACTAGAGGGTCGTAACCTTCGTACGTTTGTCAAAAAAGAAAAACGAAAAAAAATTCTTCTTTTTAGTCCCCTTTTATTTTTGAGTTTGATCGCCACTTGTATTCCAGTCCTTGTTCTGCTACCATGTGCTTCCACTCACGCCTGCACAGTAATCCAAAAGAAAGCGTCTCGTCTTCATCAAACTAGCAGCGGTTGAGCTCACAAAAAGTGAGTTCCAGACCTATTAACTTAATCAAAAGGAGGTTATTAATATGATTAGATATATATCTTTTTTCTTAATCGCCATCTTTATTGCTCTTACACTTTTTATTAGAATCTTTAACAACATACTTAGGTTAACGTTACTAATTGAGGAAAGCAGGTGAACCTAAGACGGGGATTCATTATTTTGATTAGTACTTAGATGCTCCTATTTCATAGGAACATGCAAATGCAATTTGTTAAGGAACAAAAAGTTCAAAATAATCCTTATAAAATTTGATCTTTCAGTTTGCAGGAGCTGATATTGTGATAATGGTAGGTAAGCACTAACAAAAGCTTCATCTTTCTAATCAACCAACCCTAACAACTTATTCAAATTGTCATTCATATTAATTTTATAGTTCCAACCGAAAAAAAAAATTTAATAAATAACTAATTATTCATTTCTTGTCTTTGCAACTTAATGTTTACAATTGCATGGATAACCCCATTGAGGTGGTGTTGTACCATTAAGGCAGCGGCGTGTCAGGTCACTGACAGATATCAGCCAAGAGGCTGAACCACACTTATCTATAGCGTAAGCAAGCATGATAATCTATCATTAATTGGGTCAAAGCCCTTTTGCTCATTGGTTCATTTCTTTAAGCAAGAAAGGATATTACATTGCTTACGCTTCATTAGACGGCATGCGAATTGGAATGCCAAACACATCATCATTAGCATATCTAACTCCAATTAACTAATCTTAGCAGAAAACAGATGGCCAAAAGGACAAAAAAAAAAAGAGAAAAGGAAAGGAAAGGAAATATCAATTAGAGGACAAAAACTAAAAGGCGAAGAATATTACAGGCCCACATGACAGAGAACTTGTTCTGATTGGAAAAAATTTCACACCCACTGAAAAGCTATGGTTGCAACAAACACAGTAAAGCGAACGAGGTTCAAGAGCATCTAATACTGCCTTCTTTCTCTCCTATGGGTTGTCATTTGTAAAGACTAAAGACTAGGTAGCTACAGAAACCAACCACATTTTCATTTTCCCGATCAAATTGAGAGACCAATGGGGGGTGATTTTATTCATCAGAAGCCATCTTACTTCTCCGGATGCATGTCTCCCTCGTGCGTTCCTGTACACGAAGAGTACTCCCGCATTGACATTGGCGACCGTGGCAGCAATGGAAGAAGCAGCAGGAGATTGAAAAGGCTGATTAAGAAGCTTATGAGTGAGAGCAAGAGCATTTACGGGTCCAAACCTACAAGATTCCATTATGATGCCGTTAGCTACTCGCAGAATTTTGATGAGGGATGCCACAAAGATGAATATCCAAGGTGCCAGCAAGTGTTTCAAGAATTTAGATGCCATGTACAGCACAAGTAATTTTGATTTCTGTTTATTTTGATTTCTTCGACTGGATTGCTTAGATATACTACTGTTATTTAATATCCTCTAGGTAGCTAGGAGCCCGGGATAGCTCTTAGATATACTACTGTTATTTAATATCCTCTAGGTAGCTAGGAGCCCGGGATAGCTCTGATTGAGTTGGAACTACGAAGCATATGTATTTTCAGTCTAATTATTAGGGTCTGATAATAATTGCGGGGGTCTCATGCTTACAGTCATAATCTTGTGGACGTTTTACAAAATTTGGGAGAATTAATCTCCCAGAGCGATGAAACCGTTGGTGTACAATATGGAAGATTGCCAAATAAAAAAAAAAGGTGAAATGGAAGCAATGCTAGTTTTTGCACAACCTTTAGTTCTTGGTATATTCAAAAAGCATTCAGCCATCAAAACTACCAGCTGTTGTCACTTACACTTACACTTGGACTTGCTGTTGAATGGAGTTGGGCCATCCAATTATAAGGCTGGGAGTGGGGCATCATTGGTAGACGACTTGGAGAGAAATCCCATATCTTTGGTAGACGACTTGGAGAGAAAAGATACAAAGGACTTGAGACTATCATGGGGCATCATTGGATTGACTATGATTAACGAATTCGAGCACCCTCTACCCTGTCTACGCATGTTGGTCGCTTCCGGATATGATATTTTCTGGAAACCAATAAACTTAATAAAACTAGTTTCTAAGTAGTAGTAATTTTGCAGTATAACGGTATTGTGCTATGGTGGTTGTCATTTGTCAATGGGGAATCAATTGCTGAGTTGCTGCAAGTAGTCTGCGATGAAATCTTAGACTGGCTAATTTCCAACATCAGTACATGTGAGGGTGGTGATTTTGGGATGTAAATTTTGAGGGATGCCACGCAAGGGAATATATAAGAAGACTAAACTTGCTTAAGAATAATACTATGTCAGACCTTCAATACTCGTACTTGACGCTTTCCCAATGTATTCTTTCGCCTCATACAACATCTTTGGTTGGGTAGTCGATCATTGGCCACAATCTGAATGAACCCTTCATCTGTAATACACGAGCCCTCCTTTTGATTCACGACCTCAAATCAGGTTTCACTTTTTTTATTTTTTCCCTGGACAGTAATACGTCATATACACAAACTCGAATTGTGTGGCTTTTATTTTTCACCATTTAGAGTTAAAAACAAAGAGGTACGATGTCGGGATTGAAGTCGTCACGTGAAGCGTACCGCATCAGTTGGCTGTTTCCGCTGCTCTATAAAAAGTAACAGTCTTATGCTGAATAAGGACTAATGTGAATATTGATCTTTTGGGCAGTGAAAATTTCTCGACCGTGCATTTTAACATACATCTAATTACCAAGACGTTAAATTTTCAGCTTGCACGACCAAAATATTCACATTAAGTTCAGTCAGGCATATCCAATCTTGCACTTGAATACAGTAGGCAGCGTTGGTTACTAGTATTTGTGGATAACCTTATAAAGAGTCTATATAACCAGTTAAGCTGAAGCACCATGCGAAATGCAAACACACTACAACCCGAGAGAATTGAAGAAAGCTCTGTAAATCATTTGTTAGCATTTTTCTTGTTGGTTGATGTAGTCTAACCGGTCATGCCTCCTTTGGGTCTTGACTCGTGATACGATGAGAATTTACTGCCTTGTTTAATTACCTGCAGGAGGAGAACGCATTTATATTCATTTAGGAATCATCGACGAGGAATTTCAACTCATGAATTTAAAGGAAAGTTATTTGGGGGAATTATCTCCATTGTGGTTCTTTTGCTTTCTCCCTTTTTCATTATGGTCTATTCTTTTTAAGAAAATCTTGACTCGTGTCCAATTTAGTAACTTGGATTGGCGGGATTACTTTATCTCATTGTTATCAGGAATCTGTAGATTCTGCAATTAAAGGAATAGTTGCATTCTTCAGACATTTCACACTTGGATATGTATACAAGAAATCAATATTCAGACACAGTTTAAGTTAAAGCAAATTCCAGATATCGGCTCTAATACTTACCAGACAAACAAACCAACCAAAAAAAGGGGAAAGAGAGAGATATTGGCTCTAGAATATGAATGAGAATTAACAAAGACACCTGCCATATGGATTGTGCAAATTTATCTCAAGTTGGTTTTCATTTTGGACCACTCTGTCGTTATCGTTAATTCTGTTACGTAGCCCTAGATTTACCTTACTGGAAATATAAAGCTCAGTTCTTTCTCCTTAGACGTGAATGCAAGGGCTTTCTAAGTGGTGTATTTGCCTAGACCAGCGGGTTTTTGTCCATGATCCTGCATAGGAGTGTTCAAGCCAAGATTTGCAGCTTGCTGTTCCATACAAGAACAATACTTGATAAACTTCAACCTAGTTTACCTTGATTCTGAGGTTCCCTCTGACGTCACGAAGTTCTGTGACTCAGGCTGGCTAAGTTGGAGATGGATTGGAGCATGTTGCTCCTCAGTAATTGCAAATCCATATGGAGTTATGGTATTCCCATGTGTGGCATTGGAATTACTCGTGCTATAAGCCTGAGACACAGAGGCTCCTTCAAACATTTAGTTCCCGTGATTAAAACTGTTTGATGCATGAGATTGTGTAACTAATATGATTATAGTACCTTCTTATGCAATGAGATAATTTCTTGTTGATGGAAGTTTACCTTCTTATAAAGTTCCGCGTTTTCTTGATGAATGAGGCAGCCCTGAAAATGTACATTATAGGGAAGCTCATTAACTTCTATAATTTTTGACACTAACTCTTCTATGACGGCCTTGTATTTTGCAACATATAAGTACATGTGGTAATTGGCAAGCATTTGATGTTTACCTTACGATGTAGTTCCCGAATCTCATCAGTCAGTATTTGTTCCTGCCAAGTTGATAAATGATGTAGCAGAAGCTTTAATTAGGAGCATTTCAGCATCAGCAATATACTTGTATAATTGGCTAGAGTTAGAGACTTATACAGCTTTGTTTCAAGGTTTGACGTCTGACCTTTTTCATACGGATGCCCCTTAAACTCATTTCAAGTTGGTTCTCTAGACCTTGTAGGTCTTTAACGCTCAGGCCATACAGTTCTTCTCCCATCAATTGCCTGTCTTGTTTAATCAGTCAAATTGTTTGCAAACTTACATATACTGAACGGCATGCAGTAAAGATATTCGAATCTCTGGACTCTGGAGTCCCCCAGATGCCTGGATTACTTACAATCCAACACGTAACAAAACATCCAGTAATACTCTTGCAAGATCTTAATCTTTTGTCGTGTTATCATTATGTCCAAGTTTAGTATATCTTGACATGTCATGGAAGTTCTCAATGTGAGTTGGCTTATGTTCTTTTCATTACCCAGTGTTCATGGTCGTGATGGGCTTCATGCTTATAGACATGAAGCTAATCATTGGGACCAATAGGAAAGACACCTAACAAGGGACAATACATAATATAAGAAACTCTCCTTCAGTGACAATTCTAACATCATGACTTCGCGTCAGTGACCCTACTCCTCTCGACTATTCTTTTTTTATCTTTTTTTTTTCTTTTCGGATAGTGTAAACAGTGGATGCTCTGGGCAAATACTTTACCTGTGAATTTCCTGCAAGTTGTGTAATTGTTGCCGGAGGATTGTTGCCTCCCTTTGCCAAAACTAGCCAAGAAAATAAGAAAGATTAGAGATATGACTGTCATGTTTCAAGAAAGAAATTAACAAGAAGTGATGCTAATGATGATAGCATGGCAGAGCTGGTCAACATTGTCCAGACTCAACAGGTAAACTAGAACTATCATGGTAACCGTTGTAGAGATAACACGCCTAAAGTTTTTGTAGTTGACCACTTTCTGAATATTCAAATTATGTAGTTTTGATAATTAAGTTTTCCCACCAAAGCTCATGAAGTTCCCATGCGTGCTTCCTTTATGGCTTTAGCCATCAAACGAAATACTCCAGGAGAAACAAATTTTCAAGTTTCAAGCAGATTACTAGGACAATCTGGTGATTTTCCTTGTTGCAGTTGCAATCTTTCTAGTTCTATATTGCCGTACCTGCAGCTTTAATCCTTTCGCACTATTGAGTACTCAGTCCTAAACTTGTTTGCAATCACTGACCTCCGTAAATATTCTCCATTAATGTACGATTTACCATCTATTTCAGATCATCCAGTCGGATGCACCTATGGTAACACCAAAGATGGGCAAGGCATTTGCAGGAAGTTCATTCCATTGCGAGGTACAGGAAGGGCCACTGGCTTTCATGCTTTGAATCCATGATGCCCTAGGTCGCAGTGGAATGAACTTCATCACTGCATCATGTTTTGCCCTTTTACATGTTAACTAAAGTACATCATTCTGGCTGATCATGGTTGCCAATAGACAGAAGGCATAGAACTGAATAAGATTGCTCCTTCAACTAATAAAATACCTCCACATTCTAGATATTCTGTACGACCAACACAAACGAACTATCTTGTAATGGAATCAATATCGTATATGGTGTGCCATCAGGAGATATGTTGCTCTATGGCACAACTCTGGTGAGTGGATTATTTCTTTTTATTGTCTCGACCACAATGACAAGTGCCAATGACGATGGTTGTTTAGCTTATGGTTCTGGCGGGATGGTTGCTGTGGAGCTCCTCTTAATGCTTTCTCCTTTACCATTTTATTTTGTATTTTAATTTCTATTAGTAAGGCCAATAATCTAATTCCTTGGGAACATTACTCAAGAGAACCATGATGGTTGGATACTATGTGATATGATGCAATAGCCTCATAATGGTTGGAGCTGTACACTGGGAAGTACAATTGGGACCAAGAAATTGTATTACAGTCTACACCAACCATGGCAAGCCTAGTTGTTGGTTTTTGAACAATGAAAATTCTCTAAGTAAGATTGTGTAGTCTTCTAATTCCACATTAAACAAGTCTAAGTAAGATTGGGGGATCTTTATTTATACAATTGAATTATTTTGTTGTTATAAAAATTAACTGCTAAGCTTGCCAAATAGTTAGTCCGGATGGCGATAAAATTTTTCATTGATACCTATTTTCTAAAATGCTTCAATTTAACAAATAAATAAATTTTTTAGTAGCTTTGCAGTGTTGTTCTTTTTTTTTTTTTTAATTCCAATATACACACTTGTTACTGAACTAAAAACATCTAAGCTGTACATTATATAGGTGTAAGGGTATATTTAAGGGATAATTTCAGAAACCTCCCTGAGGTTTCTAACAATTTCATTGAATTCTCTTGAAGTTTTCAATATTACACTTACCTCCCTTGATGATACACAATGACTATAATAACCTTCATAGTTTTTTTCAAAGACAAGCCATTGATAAAAAAAAAAAAAAAAGATAACAAAAAAAAG